CTGGTGTCCAATTAGAAGACGAAAATCCGTTTAATACGGCCAACGACCGGGGTATTCTAGTTGGGTGTTCCGTGGGCGGCGAACTCGTCCGCGTGGCAAAGTGTCGGGCTGCGGGATAAAGGCACAGCCGCAGTCGTTCTGCCCGCTTTATATTTAGCATTTCGTCTCGCCGTCGGTCTGGTGTCCGTCGCTGGTCTCCCGCTGGAGATACTCGAGACAACGGCCGCGCGAAGCAGTCAGAAAATGAGAGGGAGAGCGAGGAGAGGTTGGAAGAAGTCGAAGGGAGGAAGTCGACGAGTACACGTAGGGCGCGACTGAAGTGGACAATGGGTGTTCTGTCGGAGAGCACAAAGGCTCTTCTGTCGAAACGCGGCGCTATATCCGAGATACTCGTCTGGAGGAACACAGGGATGACGAGCCGAGATCTCGGGGCCCCTGGGATTTCCAGTAATAAGACACAGGGCTATCGCGAGCGCTGGAATTTCGAACAAAGCCCCGTACAAGCGTTAATTCTTAAGCAGCGAATCGTTTCGACGTCTGAATCTTTCTCGTCCTCGGGATTCACAGCATGTGGACTGGTTCAGAGATTGGTTTCACGCGTTAGGAAATGTTACTGAAGAATCAGAATAATGGGCAACTGGTTCGTGACAAATCAGTGTACGTGCGAGTCGTTCAAATAGGCAAGTTTATGATTATCACAGGATCAGAGAAAGCTATTTTTGACAGTCGATCCACCGTCTGCGTTACTCGATCTCAACTATGATACGATATAACTGGTTCTTGATCTATTCTCGATGAAAATCCTTCCAATCAGTCAGATCGATCGTACTACAGCACGTTAAACAGTCAGAATCCTTCGTTTTTTTTTTATCTATGGTTCCAGACCATACTTGGGTGGTTTTTCAAACAGTTTCAAACAGTAGAGACAATCGGTCCCTTAGTTGTATACCGAGTATTACGGAATCATTCAATCTCTCAAATCGATCGTACTGTACCAAAGCACCAAAAATTGGAGAAATTTTGTCACACATACGTCATAACACACACTGGTCAATAAGTTCGTTCAGTAGTCAAATTCTTTAATTTTCTGTTTCTAATCCTTAATTTTCTTCCAATCATTCCATTGGCTGGTCCTTCGAACGTTGCATTTTTTCTGGCAATAGCCAGAGAGTCAACAGTGTCATTTTATCGTTTGGGCGATTCCGTTCCTGAAAGGCAGAAGTTGTTACGAGACACCAGCCATTTGTTCCCATTCCACAATAACGGGATTGTCACACAACAGTAGTGGCCCTACAGTCGAATTAGCATACGTCCGCTATTGAGCCTGTTTCCCAGAGCCTGTGTTCAACACGAAAACCAAGATTAAGTACGGCGGCTGATGGATTTACGCTGCACGTGAACGCAATATCCAGAAACTGGCGGAAAACATTTCATCACGTTGGTAAAGGAACATAGAGATCGAGATGAATACGAAGCATCGAGTATATATGAAACTACCAAGAAACTTAAGAGAAACCTCCTCTCGAACTCACTGCCATCGATTATCTCTTGAACGCAGGAAGCTAGATCTTCGACCGCGACAACATGAAACACATCCGGCCAGCTATGCCACGTAGTTTCAACGACGGAAGCGTCGAACTATCCGTGCGAACAAGTTGGACGACGTTGAACCCGAATGAGGGGAGCAACAGTAATGGAACACGGCTGGTGTAAATCGTGGACAGAGAGAGAGGATTCACCACGCGCATAATGGCTTTCCAATGTAGCAGCACGGGCGAAATATTTATCGGCCAGCGCGTACGGAGATAATGGAGGCGCAAACTGGAATTTACTCCCCTTTCCACGGAAAGAGCCCGATCTCGCGGCGTTCTGCCCCCGCGCGATTAATCTTTCGAAATCTCGCGGAACCGTATCGCGTCGCGTTGTTTCACGGTCAGCCATGTGAAAGCGGAAGCCGACCGGCCTCGCCGTCAGCCATGTCAATTTCGACGGTGGAAGTTCCGACGGTGTCGTCGATAAGCACGACGAAGGGCCAGGAACGTGTAGGTCAGCGACGTGCTCGGATTATCGAATGCATTGTCACCCGCGACTGTAGTAGCTTCGATAATAATGTCTGGCCGGTTTAGCGCTAAGAGTTGCCGCTCTGTGAAACAGTGTTTAATTACGCGGTTTTTCTGTCGATCACTTTCTGTGGACTATTGTGGAATATTTGTGGATCGTTTCTGTGGATCTCGAGCCATTTCTCCGGAAATTACGTTAATTCCAAGTAACATTATGGAAAGACAATATTTGTTTTCTAAGATAATACTTAGAGTAAATGTATACAAGAAACGTAACCAACTTCATTTTAGACTGCAAGTTTATTTGTGTAATCTGATGACCATGTTCTAGGAAAAGAAAATGTACGATCTCGTTAACAATTGTTTGATTTCGAAATCGTACCTCCAAAAAGAGAAGAAACGCTGTGCAAGCTCTACTGTGTTCTTAAACTATGTCAGAGTTGACTTGCTAATTTTTTTTTTCGTCGAAAATGATAGGAATTTGCGTGAAAGATGGCAAAAGATAATAAAGTTTTTGTTTCTTACAATTCGCGTACGAGAAGACGCAGTTACTTCAATAAGTCACTATAGTAATAGTTAAGATAAGGCTGACGATTGGATTGCAGTGATACGAGGTACGATAAATGAAGCACATACGTCTGATCAATGGCAGATCTGTACTACTATTACTTCTGGCAATAAACTTTCGACCAAACGCAATTTATTCGAGAGTATTTAAAAACATTGAATTCTTCCACGCAAGAGAATTCAATTCAAATTGCTAAAAATCCTACTTTCTTATTTCAAACAAATACAATTAACATACTTTATACCTAAAAGTTAAATGTTAAATTCCAATGTTTTTAAATACGTTCAAGTATTTG